CAGGCGGTTCCATCTGTGGTTTTCGAGTTGGAGGCATGTTAGGCACAGGCCGCCAGGGAGGTTCAAAATCACACGATGTTTTGGGCAGCTGTTGGTTACGATGTTTTGCTTTTGGTGGGAATCTCGCAAAAGTCAACTGCTGACAAATTGAAGGACCGCGAGGGCTTTTGCAGATTCTATGCCTTCGGCAAGGCAGTCTGTGACTATTTGGCATATGCTGGTGATGAGCGGTCAGATTTAACCACGGCTGCCGCAAAAGTGGAGAAGTTGATGAAGGATGCACAGGAGACGAGCAAGGAAGAGGAGCGGGACATGAGGAGAAGGCTGCAAGCTTGCTGCGACCAATTCTGCAAACTAGTTGGCGGTCCACAAGTTCTTTCCGAGGATGGTGTCCGAATGAATCTGAATCGAACCATGCAGGTCCTAAACCGCACAGGCTCTCTCAAGAGTGCCGATCACTTGAGAGAGCCACACAAGTATGCATGGATGGTGCTGCCCTTCATAAAGAATTCCGTCGGTCGGGAACTTGGACCTGAAAAAGAGTTTGGTCTGGAGTTCTCTGGTTCTGGCCGGACTCGCACAGACATTAAAGGAAGCGACATGGACGTGTTTCTTTTTGCAAAGTCGGCAAGCTCAGTGTCCGAGGAGATGATGGGGAAGCTGCGGGCATCTTTGTGGAGCCGGTGTAGAAAATACAACATGTATGGCACAGTTCTCCCACTTCATCCTCCACCTTTGGCAGACTTCCGAGACAAGTCTCGGAAGCCTCGGCCACGTCCCCGCCACGCTGATCTCACGACGTCGCCTCGGCGCTCTGCACTTCGGATTGTGGTGAAAGGCAGGGGGGACGAGGACTTGGACTCTGGGCTCGTTGACGGTAGAATAGGATGGAATAGGGGCCTTATGGTCATTACTTATACTATTCTTATTTTATTATGATCATAGTAGAATCTACACCAAAACCCGATTCTAATTTTGAAGGCCCCTGCACCGGGATTCCGGGTTTTTCGGGCTCGGCTTCCCGCCTCAATAGGTAGCCCCGCCTTTCCATGTCGTCTCCGATAGATCCTGTAGCCGCGTACCCGGAAAGGCTGTGAACATGGCAGGGCTCGACGGATTGGAAAAGATTTTTGCTAGGCTTACACAGAACATCCCCGCAGCACATGCCAGAATTCCTGCATCTGTTTTCCTGGCTCCTGACGTGAATCGCAGGAAACATACGACATCTTGAGGTGTCGTCCAGACGAGTTGCTGCCAGATTTCTTGCAGGACGCCGAAGCCGAACATCTTGTACTCATCGAACCTAAAATCCTCAACACGCGCAGCTTAAGAACACAAGGGGCCGCAATCTAAAGTTGGCGCAAAACACTCAGCTGAGAGACACATAAGGGTTCGAAAACCCTCGCCTGGGTATCTGGTACAAGGCATGTAGGCTCCTTAGAGAACCCTAAGGCCCTAAACCGTAAACCTCAAGCCACGCTACCCTGAGTTCCCCCGAGAGAATAGGTGCATTGCAGGAGAGGTGTTACAACACCCGAGGAAGTTGCCAGCATCTAGCGAACATGCAGGAGAACGAGCCTCGGCTTGGCATTGCTGGCCATCAGAGTTTGGGGGTGAAGAGTAATGTAGGTTTTACGGATTTTAAGCTGAGCAGTAGACCCTCCGGCATTCTTTGACTGCAGGCGCAGGTACTGAAGTGAGGCAGATGTGTCGTCATAAGCTCGTAATTTGTTCCAGCTTCTTCGCTCTGTGATCGGGAACCCGCTCTTAGGAAAGTCTCAGAAGCTGCTGAGGAGTGGTTCCGCGATAGACCAGGTCTTCAGAGGGGTACGCGCCTGGCCAGATACTATTGCAGCAACAAGCCCGCTGGCTGCAGTCAGATGTGCATAAACTTACGGTTCATGCAGGACTTAGCTAACGAAATTGTGGCTGAAAAGGTGGGGGTACATCTCGGAACCCAGCCTCCACAGGTACGACGACGAAGTAAGGGAGCTGGCGATCAGACAGGTGCTGCTTCGGCGGCTGGTTTATCAAATCTCTGTCGTAGAGGGCTTCGAACCTCCGTGCCTGGATAGAACCGGATTTCTGACATTCTTGGCGGTTTGCGGTACAACTGGTACCCGCCCGGACGGTGCGTTGGAAGCAATCGGCGAGTTCTCACATTCACAATCGCCGCAAAATTAGTTTCAGGCCGTCATTATAACTTGTCTGAGTGCAGTCGAAGAGGCGACAGGAATCGGCAAGACGACCCTTAAGACGTTACGCACGCCTTCAATGCTAGCATCTGGCAGCCAGGGTCCAGTCTCGAGGACCTTGAGGGTTCAGATGTATTCTCGGGGTTTCCTCAGGGAGCCCAGAACCCTGCTCCCGGGTATGCGCTAGAAGCGATGTGGTGGACTTCTCGTTTAGCGCAGTAGTTATGTTTCAATGACTCATGAAACTACGGTTTAGGGTGTGGTCGCCTTTGTTCTGCATCCACAGACGGGGTTCTGCACCCCTTTCGGATCCCCACGTCAAAAGAGTACCTCATTCTTTTGGGAACCCAGAAGCGGACCCTAACCTGAAGAGCTACCCACCTGGCGGCGATTGCGTGGTTGACTCAGAAAGAGTCGCAGGAAGCCGTGGAGAAGTAGCGAGATGTTAGATGCAAATTCAACCTCGGGCATACTCGGGCGAAGCACCGGTTACCTCTGTCGTGAAAAAGGACCCTAAACTTGGCGCTAAACCCTAAACCCTAAGCCGTCGAAACCCTAACTCTAGGAGGAACCCTTCTTCCCATGATCCCTCCTTCGACGAGGCCCCCAAAGCCCTCACCCCACAGGTCCTTACCAAAATCGTTTTAGATGCTACAGCCCTAGATGCTGAACTCCTATATGGGCCTCAGCGCCATAAAGCCTTCCCATAGAACCCAAGCCCATAAGTTTCTTCAGAGGCCTATGGGCAATACTGCCTCGGTGGTTGATGTGCCACAACCCAGGGAACCTTTGCTTAGTGCAGCGCTTTTTTCGGTGATGATGCGGCATGAACGCACAAGATGATGCGTCTGCTCGGGTGAATATTGCCGCCGATCGTTTGTTGCTGTTGCATTGTCATCGAATACCATTTTGTCAGTCGGTTCGGGTCCTGGCTAAATGCTCAACCTCGAACAGAAGAGCTTCTGCCCGAGAGTCTTTACCCGCTGAAACCTGCTGTAACGAGATGTTACATATTCCTAACTGCGAATGCCTGCCGTGATCTGATCTCCAACCCCCAGTAGAGATTTACCTTCAACGACTGAACCCGGAAATCCAAAACGGATGAATCACAAACAGGCGGGGCCCTAAAGCCCCAACGTTAGGAAACTTGCACCCCAAAAGCCTATATGCCAAAACCCCTACCCTGAGGTCAGGCAGAGGGAGCTCAGAAGAGAGGCCTTTCTGCTTGTGATGCATGGTGTTGCGTGGTTCAGGGCTTAGGGTTTAAGGATGTTTAAGGTCTTCAGTTTAAGGCGAAGGAGTCACGGCTTTTGTGATTGGTTCATGGTGCTGTCACGCCTAATGACGTTGAGGTCGAGCCATGCCTCCCCGAAGGTTCCAAGCCGTTGCGTTGGTTTGTTCGACGCTGTTCCGAGTATTGGGTCTTTGCCGGCCACCGCAATACCAGAGGATGAATCGAAGCTTAAAGGTTCACACTGCCTGAGCCTATGTGCCCACCTTACGGTGACTTTGAGGCACTCGACTTCATTTCTCAAATCGTCCGGGGCTTCCTGCAGCAGTGGGACGAGGCCATGTAAGGGGGAGTCAGGGGGAGCTTCCGTGTTTGGTCAACATAAAACCGACAGGAGGTTTGACAGACACGAAGCCGTGCCCCTGTCGAACTTTCATGGGTTCAAGTTCAGAAGACGTAGTAGAGAAGAAGTATAGACGCCATGTCAGCAGTGTAACAGTTTGCATTCCTGTAGATGGCTTCAAGCCTGCCATTTCAGTGCGTACGGCCTAGTAAGCTTCACGCGCCTCCACCTGCCATTGCTCGCTCCAGCGTGCCAGCCAAGTCTCGCTCTCGGCCGGTTTCTGGCATGTTTCTGCCAGGGTTTCGGTTCACTGCTCACGGTCTCTGAGGGTTTGGTGTTTCAGGCCCCGGGAGAGAGGCTGATTCAGCTGCGAGCAAGGGGGCGTCTTGAGACAAAGAATCCTTCGATGCTCCGAATTTAAGGTTTAGGGTTTAGGGGTTTAGGGTTTAGGGGTTCAGGATTTCGTGAGAGGGTGGTCCGCTCATGGCTCAACTCAACCCCGACAGCAGGAGGTCGACCGAGTCGCTCGGAACCCTAAACTGTACCTCCTAGCCCCCTGGGCTCCACGAAACTCCAAACCAACACATCACTTCGAGATATCAGGTCGAGGCCTTCCATTGGCCAGGTTTCCATGATATGTATGTAGTTGCACATCTGCTTATATACACATGTTATATGCGCATATACCCCCATATATGCATACATATATATATATATGTATATATATATACACACATACACAGACTATTGGGGCAATTTCGGACTGGAGCATCCTGAGGAATCTTAGGGCATCAGAATATAGGTTTATAGGGTTTAGGATTAGGGTACAGATCTTTAAAGAAGAGCCTTCACAGCAACATCGGGTTCATAGGACACGACACCACAGTTTTTGAACGGATCGGTGGTGATTTCGTGGTGGATGGGCCGTACACCGGCAGACTCCATGGTCATGCAAGTTTTCCGGGTGACTAGCAGTCTACTGTGCCGGCTCTGTGCTATGCCCGAGGCAAGCAGGGCAGCTACGGTGTCCGTCTCCGCTTCTAGTGTTGCGCATCCGCACGACGATTCTGCTTGCAGCTTGTTGGATTATACACTTGTTGTTCAAGGTTCTTATCATGGTTCAGCCCCCGCCAACCCCCCCGCAACTCATGCAAGGCAACATGAGGGGTTCAAGTCTCAGACCGCCAGGGGCTCCCAATTTCATGGTGCCTAGATCCTTTGAAAATCCCGCATGAAGCGCAAGCGCTTGCGCCCATACAACTGGTCGGCCAAGCTGCACGTCTGGAAGGCGTCAGGCGAGGAGCTCGTCGCCCTACCTGTAGCTCGCATGGGGTTTAGGGTTTAGGGCTCTAGTTTAGGGTTATAGGGTTTAGGGGTTTAGGGTTTAGTTTAGGGTTTAGGGGTTTAGGGTTTAGGGTTGGTTCAGCAATCCAGCGTTCAGGGTTCAGGGTACAGTGTGTTTGGTTCAGAGTTTAGGGGTCAGGATCTGAAGGCTTCGGCTTTCGGGTAATTGGTGGTGGGCACATGGCTATAGGTTTTGATGTTGCGGCTGAACCTGCTTTCGAAATCCGAACTGCTTCCAAAAAGATGCGCCTCACACCCGGAACCGCAAGACCACGTGAGGTGAGAGAGTTGAATGATGTGCGAGCCTTGAAGACGCACCTGCAGCAGATATGCGGCACGCCAAGATTCCAGCAAAGACTCTTACATGGCAGCGCCTGTTTGGATGATGCCGACACTCAGCCGCCGTGTTATAGACAGTGGTGAGCGATCCTGCTAAACAAAACAAGCAATCGTAGGCGCCTTCCCCATTCGCCCGACAAGCAAGAGCTCACCCGATCATCAGAAACTGGTATTGAGCCCAAGCCGGCTTTCTGGCTAGGACATAGGTATACCCGGTAGCACAAAGCCAAGGACAGACTGGTCGAGCCCATCGACATACAACTGGTACTGCTTCCTCTCTGCACCGCCTCGAAGGCCGAAGAGGCCGAGCTCATGACCGCAGCTCGAGAAGGCAAGGCCTCGGAGGTGGAAGCCATCTTGAATCGACCACAGAACCCGGACTTGCAACTTGCCAATCGTTGGGAAGTTGGACCTCTCCACATTGCAGCCCGAAGGAACCATGTGGACGTGATCCAGCTCTTGCTCGAAGCTCGTGCTGACATAGACGGTTTCTGTGGAGATGAGACTTCTTTGGCTATGGCCTCGGCGGCAGGCCATGTCGAAGCCGCGCACGCTTTGTCGGAGGCTGGGGCGAAGCTCGACAAAGGGAGAAACGGCATGACGCCGCTGCGATTGAGTATCGAGCGGGGGCATGTAGAGGTTGTGCGAGTCCTCCTGGTAGCCCGGGCTAATTCAAGCAAAGTCGCCCACGGCGAGACGCCTCTAATCCAGGCATCTCGCCTAGGTGAGGAGAAAATCGTTGGCTTGCTGCTCGAGAGCAGGGCCCACATGAAGAAGTCCAACTGCTACCATCAGCCGTTAATGTCGCCTCTCGGCTGGGCATGTCAGCTTCCACATACGCAGATTGCACGTATGTTGCTAGAAGCAGGGCTGAACAAGGATGATGTGTGCACACTCGACCAGCAGACGCCTCTTGGGGTGGCGGCCAGACTGGGCCACTTGCAGATCGTGCGTGTGCTACTGGAAGCCGGTGCCGACAAGGAGAAGGTTTGCGAAAGGGCCGGCAGAACACCTTTTGGTGTTGCCTTGGTGCAAGGCCATGTCCAGGTCGTGCGCTTACTTCTGGAGGCCAATGTTGACCAAGACAAAGGATGTGGAGACTTCTGCGGTGCCACGCCTCTCGGCGTGGCCTGCCGGCTGGGCCACGTGGAGACGGCACGTGTGCTACTGAAGTTTCACGCGGAGAAAGAGCAGGCATGTGGCTATCAAGGCTTGACGCCTTTGGCCTTAACATGCAGATTCGGACATGCAGAGGTGGCACGAGTTCTCCTGGAGTTTGGTGCAGAAACAGAGCGCCTGTCTGGACATAACTCTGAGACGCCGCTCGTCCTGGCATGCAAGCATGGTCACCCAGAGGTTGCACGTGTACTGTTGGACGCAGGGGCCGACAAGAGCTTTCCTTGCGGCCCTCGCCGATTAACACCTCTAGGAGCAGCTTCCGGCGAAGGTAACGTGGAGTGTGTGCGCCTGCTACTCCATGCCAGAGCCAACAGCCAGAGTGCTTGTAGAGAGGATGGCGAGACCCCTTTGAGCGTGGCGGCCATCAGAGGTGACGAGAATATCGTGCACCTTCTGCAGCAGGCACACTCCGATTGATGCAACAATGCCTTTCAGAGTGCCATTTTTCGGGCAGCTGCCTCTGTGAAAGCGAATTCGCACTTGCGCACGGTTGCAAAAAGATGAGCGAGCAGTGGTCCATTTGTCAATTAGAGATACATCGTGATGCGCTTGCCCGTCCTGTAAACCTCCGGGTGCGCGCAGTTAACAAACCATATTGTAGATCCCTCAAAAACTTTAGATCCTAAGCCGAGTTGACGTTTCATCCTTTGCTGAATCGATCGCTTTTTCCTGTGAGTTCGGCTCTCATCGAGACTCTGCTTGAGAAGAATTCGTATCAACATATGTTTAAGCCCCCTTTTGGGCCGACATCTTCCCGGAGGGCATCATGGCTTTCCATGTGCAGCCAAACTCAGCCTCAATCGAGTCCAGGCGTTTTGGTTCATCTTGTGGTGGTTGAGACTCCCAGTTGCAGTTTCAGCTAAATCCAAAGCCCATTTCTCATTTTTAGAGTTTAGGGTCAAGTGGGGTTGAAGATTGAATCCTGCACGCCTGACTGCTGCTTAGAGTCTTAGAGGATTCCGAAGCCAGCAACCGCCAAAGCCTGCATGGACAAACACTGGTTTGTGTGCTCTACAGTTTATTGTCTCTACAGTCTCTACAGCAACAAAATCATTCACATTATCCCAAGCATGACGATTGTTACGCAAGCCCTGGAACCAACATGCCCCAAAGCCTTGGATGGAGCGGACGTACCTCAGCCTTACAATTACCTATTGTCTCCATTGTAGTTCCTTTTTGGGGTTTCCTTTTGGGATCCTTAATATAGACTTGGTTAAACCCCAACAAGGAATTACAATGGAGACTATAGGTAGGATTCAGCCACCAGTAGCTGTGCAGAGAAGTTGCTCGGAGTACTCCTCAGGGCCTTGAGGCCGAGTGCACGGTTCTTTCAACATCTTTCGCGGGTGTCTGTTGGAGGGAGACCCTTGATTACAGGAACCATATGATTAGACTGCCATCCTTTATCTAGGTTCCTGAGTAGTGCCCTTCTGCCCTTTTGCTCTTTGTGGCTTCCCCATTAAAACCCAAGTAGGAGGAAGAAGGGTACCCTTATGAACAAGGGGCTACGGGGGAACTTAGTTCTGATTATTCAACTCAGGTGATGGTCATGGCAACGAGGCCTTCATTGCCTCCTATCAGTTTCACTGCATTTGACTTCGGCATCGCCTTCTTCTCACCGGTAAAATTCCCTTATGTTTCAGGCGATGATATGAAGATCTAGTTTAGGCGTTTGGGGCCGAGAGCGCACCTTCCCGCTAACTAGATCCTGGCATCACATCTTGTGACGGTTTTTGCTTCGGAGCTCTATATAACATCTTCGGTCGTGCTCCCTACACCCCAACCCAAGTCCCTCAACCTTGGAAAAAAACCCTGAACCATAAGCCTTGAGCCCTATAAGCCTTGAGCCATAGCCCTAAAGCAGTTTTGGTCCTAAACACTATGCCGCGCCGACAACCGTGCTAGCCCTACGCCATAACCCAAAACAGCCTGGGGTAGGTTGCCAAAGGCCTGGTGGTCATTTTTCAATTTTTGCGGTTTTTGGTTACGATAGGTCGGATCTCCAAAAAAGTATCATTGAAGGGTTTTTGGGTCGCAGGACTACTGCGGTTCCTGTAAGTGTGACGATGAAGGTTGCAGTAAGGGCTTTTTAAGGGATGTTATGAGGGGCTTGCTTTCCCGGGCGCCGTATACGGTTTACGTAGGCGGGTTCTGTAAGGGATGCTAAGGTTCTGTAAGCCTGTCTTGCGGGTGTTGGATCCAAAGGTTCATATGGCTTCATGAGTAGCTACTGGGCTGACTGGCTCCTGGCATGCGCAGTGCATTGAATTGGCGCTTCTCGTATTTAAACCAGGCCTTCCTGGCTGAAAAAACACGAAGGCGCGGTCCACCGAGTCCCCGGGAGGAATGTTTGCAGTCCATATTGAACTCAGGCGAAAAATTCTCCCTGGGCAGACATTCTTCCCATTTCTTTTCGCAGGCTTTAGCTCGAAATGCTTCAAGAGGCGCTGAGCAACTGACTCTTTGCTAGAAACACTTCAGCAGTTTCACTTGAAGCTATCAAGTCTGAGCCTCGGGAACAAAGGTGTTCTGTCCCGTGCTGCTCTCAAGTTTGTGCAGAGAAGCTTTGAGGGCGAAGGCTTTTTTGGGCTCATCTTGTTGAGGAGCCGGTAAAGACCCCACAACCTGGCAGAAAAACTCCGAGATCCGTCCGCCCTACACCCCGATCGAGCCGATGAGGCGAATCCGATGGAGTCAGAAAGCCGAAGCAGCGGGAGGTATTGCAGGTATTTGTGTCAGTGTCTGTACAATAAAGGGCTTATGGCAGTTTAGGGCGCTGTGGAGTTGAGGAACAGGGAGAGAAACCCAAACCCGTGCTGTAGGTCTGACGAGATCACATGTCGAAGCATGACTGACAGTCCAGTTTGGTGTCGTTTGGTTGTGGGTGCTGTTGCAAGTTGGTGGAGGTCATAGGGTGCTGGAAGGTAGGGATGTCCCTCTATGGAACCAACCACACACAAGAGACCTGCACGCTACCTCCCCTCCACGAAGAGGCTCTCGAACCTGTTTCTTTGCCACCGGATGAGAGTGGCCGGGAGCCTTGTCTTTGGCGTTTGCAGCAGGGGATCCATGGTTTCGTTTAGGCCGTGGGGCTCAATGTGGCAGCTGTGGATGCTGCAGAAAGAAACTGGCATGTTGACCTGCTAGTGTCAAAGTGGCACCTGAAGTCGAGTACATGTCCACCAGCCCTGTCTTTCGGATTAGAAATGGAGGTTTTGAGCGCTCGCTCTCTCTCTCTCTCTCCCCCTCTCTGGCTTTTAGTGCCTGTGCCTGTGTGCTCGATTTCGATAAGTATGTTTATAAGCACCGTATACGTTCCAGCCGTCACCACCCACAAAGACCTGCAATGCTTAAGTTATATGAAGATATATGCATGCATACATACAGTTACGTACATACATGTCTATGTGTGACTTCAGCGGCCACGCAGCGATAAGTCACATAAACTTGCTCTAGATCCGGGTCCAGGAATCTGCCGGCGCTGCAGCGGCCCGGACAACAACATATTGCGTAGTTCTCTAAAGTAGGGTCCCATTTGGGGGTCCTTTTTAGAAGGGTGCCGTACTTGACTGGGGACCTGAAGAGGGACACTTATTTAGAAAACTACCCATATCCACTGCTACAGTTTTCCAGGTTCTCAGGGTCCATCTCCCGCAGTGCTCGCAGCCAAGTCCCCCGGGCGTGGGGTGTGTTGAAAGACTTGTGGCTAGCAGGAAGGGTTCTACTATCCCGGTAGGGAGAACTTGCTGCGATTTGCTCGTGCTGAGCCATGCGACGGCACCTGGGTCGGGCAATTCCGATCTTTTCTGCACAGAGCTGTTACACTAGTCTCCCAAGTTCTGGCAGCTGCAAGCATAGAGCGAAATCAGGGATGTGTAGACGGTTGCCAGAAGTCTTGCTTCACGCTAGCTGACGGAAGACTTTCCGTGGTCTTCATGGTTTATTGTGGCCGCAGCTTGGGCGCCATTGGTAGCACTGCTCCAGGTACCGCCAGCACGTCAGAACAATGCTGGCTGAATTCCTGGAGTTGGCTGACAATGAGAGGGTTTAAATCTGGACTCTTTACGTTGCACCGACTGCCAGATCCGTATCAGAAGAGAAAAAACGGACGAGATCCTAGCTAGACTGCCCTGAATTGGGAACATGCATCACATGCCATATTAAACCTCCTTCGACACCTTTGGACCCAGAAGCTAAGCTCCAGCTCGACTGTTCTTTTTGCATCGACGACAGACACACTAAGAACCCTGGCTTGTCGACGCGTACGCGTGACAGTGTACCTGGAAAAGCTTTCGGGCTTCGGAATTAAGAGTGCTCGATTGTTTTTTGTTGCTTTTTGTTTGTCGCGCGCTTGTGTGTGTGTGTGTGCGTGTGTGTGCGTGTGTGTGCGTGTGCGTGTGCGTGTGCGTGCGTGTGTGTGTGTGTGGGTGTGTGTGTGTGTTTGTGTGTGTGCGCGCGTGCGTGCGTGTCTGTGTATGTGTGTGTGTGTGAAAGTGTATGTGTAAGTGTAAGTGCAAGTGCGCGCGCCTGCGTCTTCGTTGGATGATTGAAAGGAGTATACGGATTTGGGGTTTTGATCTCGATGATGTACATTTTGTGCGGCAGTCGCTCGAGAAGACGGACCCTGCCCCGCCCACTTAAGCAGCATGATGCATTCCTCAATGAAAGCTTTGAAGCGCAGAACGAAAAAACTCCGAGGCCGAGACCCTATGAACTGTGGACCGTCACTTCCGGTTGTGCGAGACCGGAGATTTCCCAAACCGTGCGCCGTTGCCGGCTCAATAAGGTGCAGAGTAGCCTTTTTCGACATGGGCCGTGGTTTACCTGAAAGCAGTGATTGGAATGTGTAAGCCCAAGCTAGTGACTCATGCTAGGTCTTTGATTTGTGTTCAAACAGATGTACACGTTTTAACTTGCACATGCGTACCTGGATAATGCCAGCCTTGCTGCAGGCCTAGGCTAAGCATGACTTCTTTTGGTTTTTATTTTCTTCAAGGACCTGGCACCCCTGTCTTTTCCAACACTGCCCCGCCTTGCTCAAGTTGCTAAATCCCAAACCCCTCGCCGCCTATCCCTCCGAACTTTGTCGGGCTCGCTTGCGCAGCCATGGAGGGTGCAATCATAGCAGAGTTCAGCAGCCTCAATGCTTTGAACCAGCAGGCCTGCTGCATTGCCCCTGCGGCGTTGGGGTTGGGTGTTATTCTAACTGGCTCCTGCATTGTCTTCAACGTAGATACTCGCAGAAGGTAGGGTGAGTGGAGCTGGAAGGAGGAGCACATGTGCCTGGGCACGGTATCATGCAGTGCACTGGCGGTAGGCTTACTGTTCATTCTGCATACATGGCGCGCAAGTCGCCCCCTTCAGGATGTTAGTATGCTGCCCACATGTCCACAAAGTTCCCAAGCACGAGCTGCTGC